CTCTTTTTAAATGCAGCCTCTGCTTCAATTCCTTCGAGACCTTCAGGCGGTTCGGAGACCCACACAGCATTTTGTTTCTTATCCTCAGAGGCCCCGTGTTCAATTTGACGGCTTACGGCAGAACACCGTTGCATTCAACTTGTCTTCTTTCGAGAGCCCGCTTTAGTGTGACACCTGAGCATCTGCACCCCGCTTGAGCACTTGCAACGGCGGCACAGCTATCCTGCAGGTGCCATGGCTGCAGGCAAGCTCTTGCAAGGCTTCGTCAGGCTTCTCACGGGTATGCCCCGTTAAGTTTCAAATCATGCTGACTGAAACGTCCGCTTTGGCTAGGCCGCAAAAGAAGCTGCGGCTTTGAGTTCTAGTAAGCTGTTTTCTAGTTCAATCTTATGTGGATTCACAATGCCCATACACGACTAGCTGTTTACAAGTTGTCGTTTGTCGAGAACGGTTGTAACATTCCGAGGAGGTCGCATGTAGGTCAGGCTGGAAGCAAAAGGACGCTTTTCGGTGGTGGGCTGAATGTGGGTAGGCCTAGATTCCAGGAAGACAAGCATGGAACGCAATCCGCAGCCGTTTTGCCGAATGTGGTCTGTATGATGTCAGCTGTTGTGTTGTAGTTGCTGTAGTCAGTTTGTCATCTCCATGTCAAGAGCGTCTTTAGCCCAAAAGAAGGTGGTCAGTTGTGGTTTCATGGCTGGGCGGCTGGCGTACGGAGGAAAAGAGGCGACGCTTGGCGATAGATGTTGCTGACCACGATGGCAAGCGTGTGTGTGTGTGTGCGCAATCTTTGCTGACGTTGATCTTACCGTGAAAGCACAAAGGTGATGAGGCAGCCGAGGAGCCAAGATGGGGCGGAAGCCCGCTTCTCAGTGCAGGTAGGGCCTTTACCGATCCTGAAGTGTGTCTCTTTGCTTTCGCTTTTCAATGCACTATGGGCTTGTCAGCCGAAACCTCTTCGTAATGTCTTTAATCCCAACAGCCTGTCGAGCGGAAGTCCGAATAGCAAGCGGTGTCAGGTTTGGAGGCCGAAGCTTTTGTGGCCGATAGAGTGTTGAGCATCGTGAAGCAATGATGGCGGCCCATGAAACCTGGAAACACAGGAGTTCTGGGTGGCGAGCCATCAAAGCTGCATAGGTGGAGTGCAGGACTCAAACCGAGGTCATGTTGTCGAGACAGCTCCTTGGAGCATGCTTTGTTGTCGTTACAGCTTGCCCAGGTGAGGCGAAATACGTAGGATGGGGGGAATTGGGTTTTGTGGAAACATTGCTGGACTCGGCCAAGCACTACTAATTAGACATGGTGTTATACTAGCATCAGTTTTCGTACCACTACATGCGTTGGTATCAGTGCTAAGCTTTTACTGATAGAAGTAATGGCAGTAGGCAAGTTCCTGGGGGTTTCCCGAAGACCCGTGGGAAAGTACAATAGAAGAAGTTGTTGCAAGAGCTCGATATCACGGCAAGTACAGTGGTTTTTGCACTGACGCAACCGGGCCAGCCACTGCCACTGCCACTGGCACCACTATTAGCATGATGTGTATTGCTATCTCTATTCACTACGACTACGACTACGACGACGACGACGACTACTACTACTCCTGCTGCTGCTGCTCCTCCTCCTCCTACTACTACTACTACTACTACTACTACTAAGCGTCTCGGCTCGACTTCACTTGGCCCCCTGGGGGTGGTACGGTTTGTTGGCCCTCTTTTCTCAGGCCTAGCCGTATGGCTTCCATCCTTGTCCTCCCCCTATACTATCTCCCCTCACTTCAGGGTGTTTCAGGGTATCCTGCACTCATGCCATGGATCTCTGTACCTGGCACGGAGCCAATAAAGTTTCCCGTGTGGACTACCTGCCTGATGCTCTGCATAGGACGATTCTGCAGGTTACTCTGGAAATTAAGCTCCGTCACTGGAGGAGCCTTGATCTGCCTATGGGCAGCATTATGTCCCTCCTGCGTAGCTATGAACGATCCATGTCGGATGACTCATCGTTTGTTAACTGGTGGAACATGTGGGCGATATTTGGACCGGCTGACAGGCAAGAAATGCTGCAACGATTATCTCTGGTTTTCCCAGACTTCACCTATCATATGCTGGGCCACTGGTATCGTCACTCAGTCTGCAGCCAAATGGAGGCCATGGATTAATGGTTTTGGGCTGTTTTCCAAGCCGCAGTTGACTCGTTACACGTATGCAACCAACAACAACGGACTCAGCCGATTGACTGCGCGAAGGTTCACGCCCACCATCCTCTTCATCCTTCTACTGCTTCCATTGCTCTTTTCAGGGACTTTGCCGATGGACACAGGTGTGGGGGACCCCTCCACATTTGCAAGGCATCGTGAAGACCGTGTCGCCGTCCACGACCAGGCCCGACTCTCAGCCGAGGATAGACTGTCTCCAACCACTCAGGTTAGATTTGAAGTTAATCTCAACGCTGAAGCCACCTCCGCAGTGCTGCTCAGGGACAGTCAACCTTTGCACACCTGTGCTCATACACTCTCATGTCCTAGACATGAGTCGCATCTGTGTCTGAGCAGGTTAACTCTCAGGGCGGAGAGGCTAGGAGGTGTCCCTCTGTGTCCAGCAATGCCTCAAACATGCGGAGGTTTTGCCCCTCCGACAGGTGCCATCTACCCACCTCCCATCCGGGAATCTCTGTGGTTTTCTGTCCTCAGGATGGACCAGCTGCCTGCCCTGTCGCCGGACTCCCAGCGCTTGCACCTTCATCCTGGCTCTGCTGGAGGTTCCCCTCCGAAGCCTAGTTCCAGTGCCCTACACTCCGAATGGAGGTATCCCTCCAAGTCCCTTCCTGCAAACCCACCCCTGGCAGCTAGCCATCAGGTCTGCCTGCTGATGCCCCCGACCAGTGTCTTGCCGACAGACACTCCAGAGCCGTGGCCCTACTGCTTGCACGACCGCCCATCCGTGGGGTCTCATCTCTGCAATATGTCTCGTTTTCTGATATCATGCGGGAGGAGACAAAGTAGTAGCAGGGTCTGGACCAGCAGCGGCTCACAGCATTGCCCAGTAGAGTACCACTATCGATCATCTTGTAAACCTGACTCAGTGGCGGCATGTCGGCCAAGCGCACGCCCAAGACAAAGGCTAAGGCGTCCACTACAACCACGGCGCGGACTCGCACACGAAGCAGGGGAAGCATGCCCTCGGAAGGGGCGAGGGCCGCTGATGATCCGGTACCGACGATTGGTGGCAGGGACCCGCTTTCCAGTCCCTCTCCGTCCGGACTTTCGTTGCTGGAGTCATCATCAGAGGAAGGGGCGTGGGGGCCTCCACCCAGGGCTAAAGCAAAAGGTGGAGGCCCCCCACCCCCCTTTAAACCTGCAGGACCTCCTCCGCCGTCGCCAGCAGGACCAACGGAGCCCAAGGCAGCAGGCATCATCTCGGAGGGCAGACATGGTGGACCTCATGGCCTCCCCACTGTTGCCTCTTCTGGACCGGCATTTGGAGCGCCTGTACCCGGGGCACCACATTCTCCTCTTGCTCCCTCGCCACCGACACCGGCCATGGTTTTCTCCACCCCGATGGATCAACTGCGCTATGAGCAAGGACCTCAGCCACAGACCTTGGAAATTCACCTTCAGGGAAGCTGGACCTTACGATTCTCGTCGGCGGCATTGGGCTCCACCTTGGGATCTACAACTACCACGGCTATGCCAGGCCCGTCTATGGCAGTACCCTCCATGGCAACGACTCCCTTCGCGATCATCGCCCCGCCGTTGCTGCCAGCCCCGGTCTTCTCGAAAGCATCGACCAGTAGCAAGGCACCACCACTACCCCCGCCACCAGGCACCCCGTAGTCGGTGTGACAAGGCCCAAATCTGGCTGGATGATAGAGGGACAGTGCTGCCTAGATCTGCAAGTATCCTCTCGGCACGGCTGCCTTCCGACTTTTTGCAGAGCTGGACACAGCTGATCACCGCAGTGCAAAGACGTGCCCGAGCACCGTGCTGCCTCCAACATGTTCTTCATGTGACTGTCCCCTCTGCTCACTCAGGTCATTTGGCCCAGGGAACGTGTCCAGGCCTCAAGTGGAGTTCACAGTTTCCCCACAGGTGCGCATTTAGTCTGCCTCTGCCCAGCAGCAGCTGTCCCTCCCGACCAGGAAGGGCGCTCTCAGTCAGTGCCCTATGCAGTCTCCACAGACCCCGTCCATGGACTGCCCCAAACCCAGCCGGTATCTTGCACCATGTCTCAGCAAACTCAGCACAAGCTCGGGCATCGGGAGGTTCCCCTCCGATTGTCTCATGCCCTCAGGTGTGTGCCCGTCTCCTGCTCGGCTGCTGCAGACAGCCAGGACTGAGCTGCGGCACAGTGGCCATGCATTTGCAGTGTCAAGCCCCACCTCTACTCTCGTTTCCCTTTTGGCCAGTGCCTGCACTACCTCTGCATGACCCCGGGGTTTCCTGCTCCATGCATCGCGATCTCATAGAGCAAGGGGCTTGCAGAAAGCAGGATCAGTCCAGTAGCACAAGGGATACACTGTTTTGGGATAGGCGCACCCAGGAAAGCTCTCACTACCAGAACACTGCCACCACTTCCTTTCAGCCCAAGATAGCTAATCTCTGCTCCACAACCCCTTCGGCCATCCAGCAGAAGCTATCATTGCCTCTCACCGCAGCAATGGTCAGGGAAAAGACAGAACGAGATTATCGCCGAGAAGCTGCACGACCAGACAAACGAACCCGAGCGCTTCTTCGGCAACAACAGGAGAGCCCAGAAGCTAGGGGCTCTACTGGCAGAAAAGGGAGCCACAAAGGCTCCAAGGGTAAGCAGAAGGGTGTACTCCGAGGAAAGGGTAAGGGCGGCCCTGGCCGCCCCCCCTCTCCGACTACCCCACCTCCTGGTGCTTCAGGTGAGAGACAGCGAGCCAGGCCGCCACTGACCTTATTCTCCCGACGAGCTTCCTCTGCATCGCTGCGCCCTCGCGAACCGCCTTACCCACCCCCGGTACGTGACAATGCCTGCGAGGAAGAAGTGGTAGAGGTGGAGATCGAAGCGGAGGGGGATACAACCTCTGTGATCCCACAGCCGGCCACACCGGAAAAAGCAGTCCCTGAAACTCCGCCTCCACTTCCTCCCGCGGCTGCTCTGGATGCACAGGAGGCTGAGCCTATGTCGGCTGGGGTGGACAACTCTGAGGAGAGGAAGCCAGCACGGCATCACCTGCCACCCAAGCCAAAGATTCGACCTCAGCCTTCGCCGTCTCCGAAGGCCGCCGTCCCGGTTGCCATGCCACAGCAGGAGGAGACACTGCCTAGCAAGGCCACTGTAGAGATGGACGCTCTTCGAGCTCCCGCTCCTGCTCTCGCTCCCACCACGGTGCGGATCAAAGGCTCCATTGGGCGCCAGTTGGCGTCAAGAGCGCGAAGCATGGGACTGCAATCTGCGGTCAAGTCCAAGGCAAAGCCCCTCCGACTCCAACCCAAAAAAGGATCGGTGCCCTCTGCTCTCGCTGCCACTGTGGATGAGGAGGCAACGACTACGGCGATCAGTGGCACTCCCTCTTCGGGCTCCACCCCGCATCCAGCAGTACCTGATGCGGCCAGAACAGAGGCCCGGGAGACGGCTGCCAATGAACTCCCCGCACCAGTGCTCGTCTACCCCTCGTTGGATGGAACGCTGGCAGAGCTTGGTCCTCTCTACAGACGAGAAGCCACTACATCAGATGCAGCCACTAGCACGGAGGGCCCAGCCGAGTGGCAGGTTGAAGTGGACGGAGTTCGACGACCTCTGCCTGCTATGCCGGAATGGATTAGGGAAGTCTTGGCACACAGGCCAGCCATGGCAGCGCCTCCCACAGCCGCTTCAGCTCGCGGAGGTCGAGAACAGCGGGCTGGTCCGCCACGAGGGGAGAGAGCCTCAGCCTCGAACTCCAGTACAAGCATCGAGGTGACCAGAGTCAAAAGATCGAGAAGTATCAGCCCGGCCCGAAGCAGCCCTGCTGTGAACCTTTCAGCAGGAGCCGAAGCTGAAGCAGCACATAAGGACAGGACGAGACACGAGAAGACCTCGAAAAAGGAGAAAAAGAGGGCTGCAAAGAAGAAGAAGGAAAAGAAGACGACCACGAGATCTACCAAACGAAAGCACCGCCGTCGTCGCTGCTCCAAGAGCCCTACCACAGACCGGGATGACAGGGCACTGACGGCCGCCGATGCAGACATCCGGGAGGAGGCCTCTAGCCGACGCCCTCCTCCGGTAGACACGGAGACAGCTGCTAACCTCCAGCCTGCTGTACAGCCGGTAGAGTCTGCACTGACGCCCACCTCGCCAGCTGAAGGTGAGAGAGACCGCTCCAGTGTCAGCGAGCTTGAGTACATGCATTGCTGCTTGCACCTGCATGGAACCCCCACTCCTGCCCTTGATTGCTCTGTTGCTCCTCTGTCCTCTGAAGCCCCAACCCCTCTCACAGTGCTCGACATGTATGACAAGAGCAGTCGATCTGCGTATCAACTCTCCAGGACACCCCTCTCTGGGCAGGGCGGAGGTTGGCCTCCGCAAGCAGCCACTGGGGCCACGCCAGGCACGAGTGTGACAGCAAGGTTTGTACTGGGCAGAACACACACCTGTCTCTCACTTCTCAGCCACAGCCAGCTCAATATTCCTGTTCAGACTCAGTCAGTAATTCATGGTCCATTGTTTCATGGTAAGGCTACTCATGATTACCTAGAATTATCACGCCTTTCATGGGAATGCTCCTCAGCTCCACTGAGGTTCAAGTCTTGTCAGGCCCCTGCGATCACGCCTGAGGTGGCACTCCTATGCTCGCCCATGGCAAACAAGGCCCACACTGCTGATCCAGCAGCGACTGCCTCTACAGGACGTCATCCCGGCACACCAATCGGAACTCTTGTGTCGGACTTCAGACGGCATTTCCCTCGACCAGTAGCCTCGGCTGCGATCGAGACACCCGTACACTCTTCGGAGACGGCTACAACTCACGGCACAGGGAATCAGTCGATCGCAATCCCACCTGTCCCCCCAATGATCGCCGTCTCTCCCCCCGACCAGAGCTCTCCCACGACCTCCACACCGTCTACCGTTATGGTGAAGAATCGCAAGCGCCCTGGTCAGGCTCCCCGACCCAGTCAAGCTCCACACATCAGAGCCCTGTCCTCTGATTCCGCTGACAAGGCTCAGAGAACTACCACACCTGAGTCCACCACGCAAGAGATTTCCACCAACTCAGGTAGGTCGGCCGATGCAGCTCAGCACGACGATGACTATGCTCCCCGCACTCACCCCCCTGTAGGATGGCTTCCAGAGGATGATATTTTGCTCAACATAGGAGGTCGCGAAGAGCTGCCATCAGTGTCATCCTCCACTGCACCAGGGAGGACTGTAGGTCGCACCAATAAAGCATGTGCAAAGATGTTGATCCGAACCGGATTGCGGTGCCCTGGTTGCTATTGTCTTAAGGCACAATGCTGTTGTACGGAAGGAAAAAGTATGCCCCTCTTGCTCTGCTATGCTCCGGGCATCACTCCTGTACGACGTAGCAGCCTTGACACGTCGTCTCAGGCCGCCGGATTGCCACAGCGAGCAGGCCCGGCATGGAAGGCTTATAGAGCCCACTCCGCTTTCGTTGCTCCGACAGCACTCCCAACTGAGACCCTCTCCTTCACCCCACAACTGGAGGTTCTGCGCCCTCCGATGGACCAACCTCACCTCGGCCGAAGTCACTCTGTGCCGCTGCAGGTCTGTACTTGGGGCCCTGGTCCAACCTGGGGCAGCCGCTTCTACAGGAGGCGCAGTGTTCTGGTTCTGAATGCTTCTAGCACCATCCTGTGGCCGCATGCCACATTCTCCCTGACTCGAGTTGTCACTCAGCTGTGTCCATTATTCTTTCCATCAGCCGATACAGACCTCACACATGACCCGTCCCCCCTGCCCCCAGAAAACCGGGTACCGTCCAATCAATTCACCCGGCGATCACCCCCCACAAACCAAGCGAGCCGTCCGGGTCCCAAGTCCCGGGGTGGAGAACTCATCTATGCCATCTTTTTCCAAAGGCTATACCTTTGTACAGGAGTCTCCACAGACGTGAGGGTTGCAGGTACAGTCACGAGACCTGCTGGAGCTAACACTGCAAGAAGCAGCATTAGCCCACAACGCATAGCGAAGCATCGTGGAACTGACGACTTTCGTCAGCAAGCCAAACCCATCCACCAAACTGTATACGCACAGCTCTCCAAAACAGGCAAGCGTTCCTTCCACCGAGCTATCAACAGGGCCAGACAGTATGGCAGCACTAGGTATAAAGGCCAGCACCACACCCTGCAAACCTTGGGTTGTACCGCTCGCTCGAAGCCTTATGCATCTCACAGCACAGCCAACGATCCCCCCGCTAGTTCCAAACAACCCCGTACAGTGCCTCATGGTTGCACACCGCTGTCGTCCGATCGCTGGCGGGTGGTATCATGGAATGCTGGAGGACTAACAGTGGCCAAGCTGTACGAGATAGAGACGTGGCTGGAGCAGTGCCACAGCAATGGCTCCACTGTGCATGTCTGTGTCCTGACGGAAACTCACTGGAGCTTCAATTCTGAATGGGAGTTGAACTCCTACAATGTGCTCCACTCTGGTCTGAGCAATCGTAAGGGCGGCATCCTGATGCTGATACATAAAGCCTTAGTACCCAGCCAAGCCATTAGGTCTGTTGCCCCCATACCTGGCCGACTCCTGCAGGCCAGACTTGAGACCAATCCAGCCATCTATGTTGTTGCCACCTATCAGCATGTCTGGTCGGAACAATCAGGACTGGACGACTGTCTGGCATCCCGGGAAGTGTTCTGGTCACAGCTCGCTTCCACCCTCCGCAGCGTACCGTGGAGAGCCCAGCTTCTTGTTGCCGGAGATCTGAACACCCCATGCATCACCCAATTTCCGCACGTTGGGCAAGGAGTCGTGCAAGCAGCCGAATCCATTAGACAAACGGACCAGCCCCGACTCCAAGAGCTCCTCACACAGTTTAACCTCATAGCTCTGAATACCTGGGGCCGGATTAAACACAGTCACACTTACCAGTTCGAGCACACAGCCAACACTCATAGAACACAGATTGACTTCCTCTTGTACAGGGCCCAACATACCGACAACCTTGCCAAGTCGGCCAGAACTGTGCAGGCACCCTTTGTTCCTGCCTCTGGCATGAGACATCTACCCCTTCTCACCACGCTGCCTAAGCCACAGGAGCCCCGCTCAAAGTGCATTCGCGCCTCCGCCTGTAAGGCCTCTGAGGTGGCCAGCAGACTACAGCAGGACCCCGAGCTAGCCCAAAGGTTTCAGAACAGAGTGGCAGCCCTCATCCCACCCACACACGTAGGAGATCCTGCGGCGATTCTAAATCGAGTCATGCAGCAGGCTTGGCACGAAGTCTGTCAACCACTCCCCATCAGGCCGCGTGCCCCGGACCATGCTGCGGTAGGACTTGTTCGTCAACTATGGGCCCTCCGGAGGCAGCATCGACAAACTCCTCGGACCTTCTCGGTCCTGCGAGGTTGGCGACAGGCAGTCCGTCTTATTAGAGTTCAACGCCAGCTCAAGAAAGCCTGTAGGGCGAAGAAGCGAGAGAGAATCGAGAATCTTCTTCAGGAGGCTGAGCAGTCTCGCTTCCCCTCTACTATATTCAGTGTGGTAAAGAAGCTTGCCCCCAAGTCTCGTACACTACGAGTGCAGTTACGTGATGAGCATGGCAAGCTCCTTGCAGGCCAAGAGGAGTCGGAGCACATCGCCTCCTACTTGCGGACGATCTACCACAGCACTGACATACTTGAGGCCCCCACTTCCACAGTTGAGCAAGGCATGCAATTCACACATGAAGACCTACTGGCGGCCCTGCGTCGCCTAGAGCCTCGCAAAGCCCTTCCGTCTACATTTGTACCTGCTAGACTATGGAAGCTGATACCTGAGCAAGTAACTACTATGCTCCTACCGAGCATGAATCTTCAGGCCTCTGGTCTAGAGGTTGACTGGCATAAAGTGCAACTTCACCTCATCCCCAAGGTTCAACAAGTCAAGGATCCGAAAAACCTGCGACCCATTGCACTGCTCCATCCCGGCAATAAGTTGCTGGCATCTATGATAGCTCAAAAGGTCCAAGGCAAGGTTGCCAACTATCTTGCACAAGTGCCTCAATGGGCTTACCTGCAAGGCCGCTCCACCCATGACGCTTTGCTATCTGTCTGTTCTCACATGCATCAAGTGAGAGAGCTGCTTCAGGCACATGCCAGCACACTCCCTCAGCGCTTCCGAGGCTTCCAGCAGCCACGCATGCTTGGGGGCATTTCCATCAGCCTAGATGTAAAGAAGGCTTTTGACAGCCTGGATCATGCCTT